GACAGCTCGCAGCTTATTCTGGAAAAGCGGCTGATTTTCCGGAATAAGTGGCCCAGTGTAGACACAGCCATCACGTTTATGCTGTGCTGTATCCTGGAGAAGCAATAACCCCCCCTCTATTCTACCGGCTGGCGGAGTCTGTTCTTGCTGCTATGGGGGTGCAGTGTCGGGGGAACCCCGACTGCGCCATCACACACTGATGCTCTGCAGCTAAAGTGGCATCACATACCGTGCCCTGGGAATTGAGGATTAATTAGGGTTTGTGCAGCCCTTGGAGATGCCTGGATAAAAGGAGGGATCTATCCAGCTGGGGTATTCTCACCCTGTGTTGCTCATGCTTGCCAGCTGCCACTGCTGCAGACCACTCTCCTGACAGCACCCCCCGGCACCCGAGTCAGAACCCAATACCACACCTGCCTTCCGAGCCCGTGGGCTCTCAGTCAGCCTGAGCAAGGCATCTGGCGTATGCAGTATTCCTGCCACCTACCTTCACAGACTCCAGCAAAGGTCTCATTCCTTTGCTCTGACCATTAGACATACCTCTCCTCCCGGACCTGGGAACAGTGCCCAGGGTCCCAGCACTCTGCTCTACCCACTAGACTCCCCTCCCACCTAGAGGTGGGAATAGAACTCGGGCATCTTCATTGCCAGCTCCACCCTGTCTAACCCGCTAAGTCCCAATCACTTCCCTCAGTTGGGCAGAGAACCCAGGAGCCCTGAGTCCTCGCCCTGTGCCTTACTCACAAGGCGGTCTGTGGGCAGTGCAGTTCCATGCAGGGCACGCCAGGACCCTTCTCCAGCACTGCCAAAGGGGCTGCGAGATGCTATTGCTGACAGGTTGATCAGCAGCTCCCTATATCACAGGCCATAGTCCTGTGTGAGTCACAACCAAGGCCAGGTTCATGTGTGCTTAATCACACTGACAGCAATCTGATCCTCCCCTCTACCCCCCTTCCCAAAGCAAGTCCAGCCCTGGCCATCACAAACCACATCCTCCTTCCTCAGGGGCTGGGTTCTGTCCCTCTCCCCCCTCCAAGTGGAGCCAGTGATCTTGCACCCCCAAACTCTGGTGCTTGCTGTCCCTGTGCTGCCGAGCTCTCCTCTCCCTCCAGCCCTTGGGGCCCTGCTCTGCTGGCAGGGATGTCACTGCACCGCAGCCCTGGCGAAGGTATGCATGGCTCTCTGAAAAGCCAGCCTGGTTCTGATTTGTCCTAACTGTGCCCTTGACACCGCGCCACTCCCTAGGGCTGCCACAAGCCAGAGCTTGGCATGGACCTGTTGGGGTCAAGACCTGGTAGGGGGGGGCGGGAGTTCAAATGTCAGACCAGGAGCACAGAAACTTCCGGCTACAGGGGTTCAGTGACTACAGTGTGCTAAGACTCCTGGTTCCGTCCTGCCCCAGTCTTGCTGCCCACGGGCCGTGGCAATTGCACCCTTCTCCCCTGTGTAGCTTGGCTCCCTCTTTGAAAAGGGGGAAGGAGTGTGGGACTGGTGGCTTGTGTAGCTGGTTTCTCGCAGAGACGAGTGCAAGTGAAGGTGTGAGTTGAAGCCTGGGCATAAGGACCCCTGGATGTAAAAGAAAGCATCGTTCCAGTTTAGCTGTAACCCCTTCCTAGGGGCTTGTGTATAGACGTTGCCCTGGGGTGAGCGAAATCACTGCAGCTTGTGTGTGCAGACTCACGCTGGTGCGAGAGGTTCACACACCTATGATGTGATCCGATGCAAGTCGAACAGAGAGAAGCCAGGCTTAGCCCAGACCAGGCTTCTGTGTTGACTGAACTCCTGCAGGGTGAAACCAGTCTTCATTGAGGTGCTACAGCTGTGGGGCCTGGGATAGGCTCCTCTGGTATGAGAGTGAGGCTGATTGGAGCACTCGTGTGCGTGGTGTAAGGGAGAGCAGTGCAAATACCCACACAGGCACTCTCTGATCTGCCTGAATTACCCTGTTCTGTCGACTTGAGCTGCAGTGTCCCCAGGGCCTTTGGCACCAGACCGGCTAGAGTGGTTTCAGTTCTGTCTGAGGCCAGCTCAGCTTTCTCACCCAAATGAGGCCTGCTGTGTGTCTGCCTAGTCCCCAGCCTTCCCTGCGTGGTGCTAGGAGAAGGCCTGGCACACTGCAGCATTTCAGGGGTGGGAGTGGTCCCAGCAGAGAGCCCTTTGTGGAGCTGGGCTGCAGGGACAGGTGAGCCTCTTGCTCCCCATCGCGCTGGCGTGCTTGATGCTCGGTAGCTGCAATGGTGCTGGAGAACATGGAAGCCAGGACAGGGAGCCCTGTGCTAGTGCCCATTGCTGGGCTGTCCTGGGCCAGTTAGGAGGGTCTCTTGGAGAGCAGCGCAAACTATGAGAGGAAATGGCTTTAAATAGCAGCCAAAGCTACTGCCACGCAGGCTGGCCCACACGCGCTGCAACAAGCCCAGGATTTTCGCAGGCTCTGAGTGCTCCAGCCTTCACTGAGGCTTGAGTCCCTCTGAGAACTCAGGGTCTCGTTCCCCTCGGGATGATCTGGAGCAGCTTGCTCCTTCTCTCCTAGGCCAGGGTCTTCAGCAGCACTTTGTTCCCTGACCCATTGCGTCTCTCCCTGCCAGGCCTTTCTTCGAGGGAATGTCTCAGTCCAGCTCCCAGACAGAAATTGGAAGCCTTAACAGCAAGGGAAGCCTGAGCAAAGATGCCACCAGCCCGGTGAGTAATTGCAGAGGGAGGGAGTGGGTCCTGTATTCTAGTGGGGGTGCTGGATGTAGGCCCACATTAGCGTGCCCCAGGGCTGGGTTAACATTTTGTGGGCCCCTATGTAGTCGGCGGCGGCCCCTGCTGAGTGTGGGCCTGGCGTGGTAGTGCTATGGTATACCCAGTACTGACTCTGAGGCACTTTTCATTTTGATCACACACCCCGTACGACTGTATGTGCTGCCACACTCAGCTTCCTCAGCCCCCAGTTGTTCTCAGTGAGCCATGTGCCCATGTCCACAATGAGCAGGAATTTCATAGTGATCAGGGGAAACTCCCCACAGATTTATCTCCTTTCTCATCCAGACATGCTATAGCCATGTCTCCAGACCCCCTATTTCACCAGCCACTGTATGTAGCCCGGGTCTCAGCTCAATACAGTTCCACAGCTGGCAGCTACCCGATCAGTTCTGACAGCTCCCTCCTCCAGCCCTCCAGCCTTCCTTTAGAACAAGCCACTTGCAAATACATTTCCCCAGAGTGAGCGCACAGCCCCTGGGAACCTGAAGGCACCTGCCTTTCTCCCTTCGCTCCCATCTACGTCCTGTCACCATCACCTCTCCTCATACTGGTTTCCCTTCTGCCTTTGCTCCCCAGCCAGCTGGGGCTTTTCTCCCCCTGTAAGCCTGACTTGCTTCCTTTTTCCCTGCTCCCCTTGACATTCTTTTCCTACTGGTGGCCACTGTTCCGTGGGGTTCATTCCAGTTTCTTTATCTGCTCTTAGCTTAATGGCTCAGTAGCCACAGAGCCACCTGCAGCTTCTCTGGCTATAGCCATGAGGACAGTTGCCAGAAGCCGGCCTTAGACAGCTGCAGCTGCTAGCCATGGGATGGTGGCAATTCCAAGGTTGAGCAGGCTTGAACCTTGCAGTGGCAGCACTTGGGACTCTAAATCCTCAGCGCTGGCCCTAGACAGCTGCAGACTCTGCAGTTCAGTGCTTCCCTCCTTTAGGCCATGGCTTTCAGTACCTGAGATTCCCATCACCTGCAGCTCCCGCTGGTTAACCATAACCAGCAGGCATCAGCTGGTAAGGGTGATGCTTACCAGTTAACCATTCACATCCCTAGTTCACATACCTCCCTTGCTAGGCTTCAGACAGAGGTGCATTGAGTGCACTCAGTTCACCCAATTCCTTCTCTGAGGGCAGCGAACCAAGGCCACCAGCACCCCAATACAGTCTGGGAAGGTTTCTGAGGGTTAGATGTGGGCCAAGCCTTCTACTGCCTCTGCACGTTTCCCATTCACAGCGCCACCCCCTCCTAACAGCCATTCCCTGCAAGTGCTGTGCAAATCCCCTCCCTTTCCTGTTGCTAGCTGCCAAAGGAAGCTGGGAAATGTTCCTTCCCTGTTCTAGGGCCAACTCTCTAGGCAGGGAGCTGGCCAAAGACTTGTGTCTCCCAGAGCACCGTGGACTCTCAGCTGCGAGTGGGGAGGCAGAGGGAGATATGGGCCCCTTCTGAGCGTGGGACCGGTGCCATGCAGTGGTTGGCCCAATGGTAAATCCAGCCCTGGGTACCCATGTAGTGATTCACAGCTGGTACGTCACATGGACTCAGGCCTTGACCGCCAACACATACGAATACCGTCACAGGGTCCATGGTGTCTGTAGAGTGCCAGGTGGGGGCAGGTCACAACTCCTTCCAGAGCACTGCTGCTTTCCCCTTGGCCTGGCGCTGGCTCCATGACAGAGGCTGAGCAGTGTGGCCCGTCAGTGCAAGGAACAGCTGCCCATGCCTCATAGTCCCGAAAATCTTCACCAGCACCTAGCTGGCCAGTGCTCCCACCCCTCCCTCAGTTCAGGTAGTTCTGGGGCACAGAAGGGCGTTGAGGTCTCCCCTTTAGCACCGCATTACTTGCCAGCTCCTAGACAGAGTTTGCCCCCTGGGGCCTGGCACATACACACTGGATTTTCTAACACTGGTGTTTGTAAAAGGTCAACCTGCTGCTTATCAGCATGTGAGTATCTGTATTTGCCAGCACACAGGATCCCCCCTCCTAGCCCAGCACCTCAATGCACTAGGCACTGTACAAACGCTGAGAATTACCAGTCCAGTGTCAGCCAGGAACTGGCAGATGGACAGTGACGCCCAAGGATGCAGTGAGACATGCTTGCCCAGCACAGTGGCAGTGTGGCCAAGGGATGCCTGGAATGGGCCTGGCTCTTCGTGCCCTGCCAGAAGAGCTTCATTGTCTCAGTGGATCACCCAGCCGGGGGAGGAGAGGGCAGGACTCTAGCGAATGAGCTGGGGGGCATTTCCTGTATCTCGGCTGGGCCAGTGGCTCAGAGAGGGAGTGAGCCCAGAGGTCCATTAGCTGCTCCGGACATGTAAACACCCCAACCTTTCTGTCCTGGGCTGTTTTCCTCAGATGGATTCTGCCATCGGGGACAAGTTGAGACCATCGCGGAGTAAAAACCTGGATGAGAGCCTCAGCGAAGCAGACACCCTGGTAATGTGCCCTGGCTGTGTTGGAGCCTGCTCTCCCTGCAGCACTTCACCTGGGGCAAGAGGGGCAGGACACATAGAGGCCTGGCCCTTTCTGGGGAGCTTTAGTGTCTCATGCGCCCTGCGCTGATGCCTGTTGGCTCCAGGAAGCAGCATGGTCAAATGGGTAGAGCACAGGAAAGGCTGAGCTCAGGATGGGGAAGTGGAGGCACAGCTCCTCCAGCAGTGGAGCCCAGCTTGTCTCAAGTTGGCACCTACAGTCAGTGGCCTCTTGGAGAAACGTAGTCTGTGGCTTTGGGCTGCGAATTGCCACCCCTGGGGCTGTTGATCACCAAAAAGCGCTCTGGAGCCTCCTTTTCCTCCCCCGTGTCCGCAGGAAGCGAGCGAGCAGGACACGCTGGGAGACTCCAGCACTACATTAATTATCCCCGAAAAAGTAAAGACGCCCATGAAGAGCAGCAAGGGGGAGCTTCCGAGCATGGCCTCACCCAGGTAAGCTCCAGCTTGGAAATCAGACGGGAGGCAGTGGGTAGCCAGGCGCCAACCAGCAGGGGACCGACTGCCTCTAGGGGGCATTGGCTCCAGGCCAGCCTGGGCAGGGGGCTTAGCTGGCTCAGGGGCAGAGAATAGGACATTTCCCTTTCCCCTGCAGTGAGTTGGCTCCTAACAAGGCTGATAGGTGCTCCCCTTCCGTGGCTTGTCATGATGGAGCTCTTAAAGGACAGGTTCCACCTCCTTGTCCGTTCCCAGGCAGACAGCTCTCTGGCCGGATGGGGTTCAGATCCTACCTATCACCCAGAAGGAAGGCTCCTAAAGCTCGCAGCTGGTGCAACTCATTTCTCTTGTACAACTGGTTTGCTGAATTCTCCCTCAGCACAGGCTTCTGCAGGCTTTACTCGAGCAGTCGCTCCAGCCCCAGGGGCATGCGTCCCTCACTTGTTACCGCTCCCTAAGGCTGTACACTGGGCCAGGATCACCAGGATCAGTGGGGTTTGCCCCCTAACAGGCAATCCCTGCCTTGTGCTCTCTCGTGAACTGACCCTGAACTGGAGAGGTTTGAAACAGCCCTGCCGAGATTCCCTGCCAAGGTTTGAAACAGCCCCCCACTTCCCCATCCTGAGCAACGTTGAGTGTTGCGCCTGAGCTGCCAGACACTGTCCCAGAGAGAGGGGGGATGTTGCAGGTTCCCGGATGTGTCTCTGGCTCTGCCCAGGTATGAGTGGTTCTTGCTAAGTCATCTCAGTTTCCCTGTATCAAGTGTTTGGTGCTCAGAGGACTGTGGCTTTTCACAGTCAGTATCCGGCATTAGGCTCTTCCCTCCCCTCCCCCCCAGCCAGGGGTTTCTGGTCTGCCCGTTCCATCCCCAGCCAGGGAGGGAGGTGCTGCCGTGAGACTCTGAGCCTCCAGCACTAGATGGACTGTGGACAACCACAACCGGGTTGAGCCGTGATTGCATAGTGTCCGGCCCCTCCCCCAGTCTTGTGGGCGCTGGGCCTTTCCTGCTGCCAAGGCAGTGGGGCCTTGCTGGAGCTGCACTGCGTTAACGATTGTATCCACGTCCCTGGTGTGTTAAAATGCTGCCTCTTAGCCCCTTCTGTTCCCATCGGAACCCTGCACCGTGCTGGTGGAGCTGAGTCTAGGAGCAAGGACTAAAACCATGTTCTAGTCCATGGCGGAAGAGCTGGGCCCCCAGTACCCGAGCTGGGGCTGTCTGAGACAAGGTCACCTTTCAGGGTAGTGGCACAGTCTATTGGCCTGAGTCCATTCAAAGGGAATGGTCAAATAGTCCTTAGCAATGTAGTGGTGTGGTCTAGTGGTTAAAGCAGGGAATTTGTGCTCAGGATTCTCATGTTCTGCCCCAGCTCTAGGAGGGGAGTGGGGTCCAGGACTGTTGACAGGGCAAAGAGGGCAACTGCCTGGGACCCACTGATACAACATGATGCGGAGCTCCTGGCTGGAGCCTGGGCCCTTTAAATCGCTGCCGGAGCATTGTGTGTCGCGCTCGGGACAGCACTAAGGGCTACGAAGCCCCAAGTCCATCCCTCCCCCACTGAGGCCCTACGCCTTCTGGGGCATGGAGTGGCTTCCCCCCCTCCCCCCCCCAACCTTGCCCAGGAGCCTGACCAGGCTGTCTGCCATGCTGGTGTTCTGTCCCCTGCTCTGTAGGGGACTGTAGGCCAGAGCGAGCCCGTGCCAGCCACTTCCCCTCAGGTCCCGGTGCTGGAGCGAGCACCTGCCTGTCTTGCCCTACTGAGGAAGGAGCTGTGGCCCGAAGCATGGAGCCTTGTGCTAAAAACTGGCCATGTTGTGGGTCCACCCTCATGTTGCTTTGTCATCTGGTTTGTAAGCTCATGCAGCCTCCAGGGTCTCCATGCTCCAGGAGAGATGCCAAACCTGCCAGCTTTAGGCAGGCTCTGCATTCCTGTGGGGATAAAGCCCCAGCACCTAGCACAGTCCCTTCTGCTGCTCTGGAATTGCCAGAGAAATCCAGATCTCAGTGGCTAGTTCTCTGAAGCTTGGTGAAGGGTGGGCACCTTCCTGGCTAGGACCCCGCCTTGACACAGCCCACCCTGGGGGCCTGGGCTGGCTCCAGACTACGTGGGCTCTCCCTGTGTCTGCCATGTGCTGGCTGATCAGTCCATTCAGTCCTGTTTGTACCCAGCAGTGTTGCCGCGCTCCCACTCTGGACGATGTGCCAGTCACATGGCCATGTCACCCTGTCCCCTTGTCAGCTGACAAGCATTGGCCTGGCGCAAACGCTCACAGGAGCCCCAGTGTGTGGCTCAGACCCGAATGGGGTCTGTGTGTATCTGCAATCAGAGACACTGAGGTGTGGGGGAATAAAACATGCTGTGCCATGCTAGGGAATGAGGCCAACAATGCTGTCCTCTGTCTGCTGCAGCAAAATGGAAGGGGCAGTGCACACGCCCCGGCAGAAGAGAAGCACCCCGCTGAAGGAGAGACAGCTGTCCAAGCCCCTGAGCGAACGCACCAACAGCTCGGACAGCGAGAGGTCCCCGGACCTGGGCCATAGCACGCAGGTGATGTGACTGAAGCCCCAGGCAGTGCTCTGTGGGGGGAGATGCCAGCCTGCACCCAGAGCTGGTCTCAGATCTAACCAAACACACTTGGTTGCCTGAGAGCCCTGCAGGAAACCAGGGACTGCAATAAGCAACGTTAATGGGGAGCTTCTCTAACTGTACTGAAGGACTGGCACCAGGGGGCGCAGTGCTGCAGGGGATGGGGCGCGCTCTCATACCTCTGTGCAGCACTAGGGGGCGCAGTGCTGCAGGGGATGGGGCGCGCTCTCATACCTCAGTATATCATTACGGGGCGCAATGCTGGGAGGGCTCAGTATAAGGCACTCTCCCTTCAACAGTGCTGGCTCCAGTGCAGCATTAAGGGGCACTTTGTGCTGTAGCTTTCCATCTTCCAGACTAGTGGTTCTCAGCCAGGGGCCTGGGCTACAAGCAAGTTTTGGGGTCCTCCAAGCAGGGCCAGCATTAGACTCACTGGGGTGCAGGGCAGGAAGCCTTATGGGGCTGAAGCCAATGCCTGAACAACGTAGCTTTGCTGGGGCCCCAGACTTGCCCTGCTTGCCCATGTTTTTACAGCATGTGCAGGACTCAGAAAGAAAGCAGCTGAGAACCCCTGTTCCAGATGACCTGTACCATTGTGCCTGGCCCGCTGGCGCTGGACACATCTCAGGGCACGGTGTATTGCAGAGCTGGCTCCCAAGCCTTGGTCACATTTTAGTTCAACTATAATAGATCTACCTCCTGAGCCGCTCTCCCTTCTCCCCAGCCAGCACAGACCTGGCCAGGGGGTGGGGGGCGGAGGGTGGGGGCAGCAGCGAGTGGCTGTAGTCGCAGAGCTGAGGGAAAGGCAGGGGACCGGCTCCTGATGACAGCACCACGGGAGAAGCAGTTCACCAGGTGAGTGGCTAGCATGCTACCAGGGGAGCTAGCCCCTGGTGAGTGTGCAGGCCCAGCCCAGCGTGCAGAGCCTGTGCCTGCCCAGGCTTAGCCCTACCTTCACTCTCCCTCCCCTCACAGATTCCTCGCAAGATCGTCTACGACCAGCTGAACCAGATCCTGGTGTCGGACACAGCCCTGCCAGAGCACATCGTCCTGGTGAATGCAGTCGACTGGCAAGGCCAGGTAGGGAGGGTGGCTCTGGGGTGAGGCCTTGCAGGTGCTGCTGGGCAGGACTGGCAGTGACCCACAGAGATGAGGCTCCTCTGTTTCCCTGGCCTGTGCTGCTGTGTCTCAGCCCTGCCCTGGGTGGGGTGGGGTGGGGGGCAGCGGCCCTGCCAGTCTGTGGGCTCTGTGGCTCTCTCAGTGCCTGCCTTGTCCAGTGCAGACTGAGCAACAGCTCGGGTCACCCAGGCCCTCGGAGCCCTGCTGAGCTGGGAGCAGAACTGGCTGCTCCACAGAGGGGCCAGTGGCTGTTGCCCAGAGCAGACTCTGCGGGGACCTGTCCAGGGCAGGAGGGCCTGCAGGAAGGGGCTGTAGTCTGAGCAGTGGGGGAGGGCAAGGCGCTGCCTGGGAGCTCTGGTGGATGCTGATCTGTCCTGGGCCGGAGCAGGGCAAGCGTATGATCTGATGGCCCTGGGTCTCTGTGTGTCCTGCCCCAGCCCTTCTCACTGCACTGCCAAGCACCTCCCGCGGCCAAGTCCTCCCGCCCCACACAGCATGCGCAGCGCACTCTGAACTGCCGCTGACCGGCCCACTCTTGCTTGCTCTCAGTGGAGAGACCAGGGCTATGGAGCCTTGACTCCTCTCCCCTGCCCCAGCGGGTCCCTCTGCCCCTCCCTGGCACCCGTTGCGCGGACATTGTGGGCACAGGTCCCTGAGAGCCAGGAAGGGGAGTCTCGAGTGCTGTCATTTGATGCTTGACTTGTCTTGATCTCATACCTAAGATTGCCAAGCCCCCCACAAACCAGCTTCTGCTGCCCCGCAGCTGCCTCTTCCCACTCACCAGGCAGCCACTGTGCTCCCGGCAGCCTGGAATGAACACGCCATGGCCATTGCCACCTGTTCTGCTTGTGCCCTGGGCAGCCTGCCAACCCTCGGCAGGAGGAGCCACCCAACACAGGGAAGCGCACCCTTACTCATCGCTCCCCAGGGACCCTGGTTGCTAAGCACAGAGGAGGTGTCTGGCAGGTGTTGTAGAAGATCTCTTCCCTCCCATGTGCACGGGCACGCAGTGCTCAGCTTTCCTCCTCTCCTTGCCAGTATGTGGCTGATCAGCTTCGGGACCAGAAGAAAGCCGTCGTGTGCACGTGCTCCACTGTTGAAGTGCAGGCTGTCCTGTCTGCGGTCCTCACCAGGATCCAGAGATAGTGAGTAAAGGGTGGTGGCCTTTCATTCCCTGCGTCAGGCATAGATGGATCCCGTTGGTATGGGAATGGAAGAGTTGCTCTATCACAGGGGTGGGCAAAGGGCTCTCCACGGGCTGGACCTGGCCCACCAAGCCAGTGGATCCAGCCCACGGCCGCACTGCTGCTCTCCCATCCCCAGGCCAATCAGGGCCTGGGAACAGGGGAATGTGCAAAGTTTCTTCGCAAGAGCGTGTGGCAGCTAGAGATAAACAGCCAGCGTGTGTCTCTAGCTGCCACGCGCCTTAGGCGGCACGGGAGGGAGCGTTGCACGCTTCCCACCCCCAGACCAATCAGGGCTTGGGGGCAGGGAGCATGTGAAGCCTCTCATGTCCTATCCCTGCCCTGCCAGGGGTGTGCAGCAGCTAGAGAGACACTCCAGCTGTTTAAAACAGCCAGCGTGTCTCTCTAACCACTACATGCTCTTGCAGGGGCAAGGAAACTTTGCATGTTCCCTTGCTCCCAGGCCCTGATGGGCCTGGGGGTGGGAGAGCGGCAGGGCAGCTGCAGGCTAGATCCTAATTGACCTGGGGGCAGGGAGAGCACATGAGGTCTCCTCCTGCTAGGCCCCTAGAGGGAACTGCCAACTGTTTTAAAACAGCTGGTGTTTTTCTCTAGGGGATGGGGCGGGGGAGTGAGAAGAAAGACTTCTCCCGCTCTCCCATCCCAGGCCAATCAGGGTGGTGGGAAACACAAGCTGTCTCCTGACCCGACCCCTTCCACCCGATGCCCCGCCCCTTCTGGGGTGGCCCCCTTTTAAAAATTATTGCCCACCACTGCAGGGTGGGACCAGGTTCTGGCTCTGGCTCTAGCCCAGCTTGGAAGAGGAGGCCTCAAGCCAAAACTAAGGAGTGGCAGGAGTAAGGGCCCACTGAATTCATGGCTGTGAAAAATGCCTCATGGACTGTGAAATCTGTCCTTTTGTGTGCTTTTATCCGATCCAGCACAGATTTCACAAGGGAAACCAGCATTTCTGAAACTGGGGGTTCTGACCCACAAGGTGGTTGTGGGGGGGGGGGCAGATGTCAAAAGGTTATTGTGGGAGGGGTCGCTATATTACAACCCTTACTTCTGAGCTGCCTTTGGAGCTTGGTGGCTAGAGTGCAGAGGCTGCTGGCCAGACACCCAGCTCTGGTGGCAGCATCCCACCAGCAGTAAGGCAGAAGTACGGGTAACAATACTAACTCAGGCCAACCTTCTTGGCTGCAGTTTGGGGGTG